ACATGAGCCTTTATAATTTATTTGGTGCATTTTAAATGTATTTATTTATTTAAAGGTTCATTTATCTATTTCTGCTTTTATTTCTAATTATGTCAGTGTCGGTCCTCCATACTGCAGAACATGAAGAGGCAGTTCAGTGACTGAATCAGGTGTGTTGGAGCAGGAAACATGTGGAACATGTAGGGCTGCGGCCCCCCAGGACCAGGATTGTCCACCCCTGGTCTACACTTACAGCAGCAGGACTAGGAAACCCAAGACAGCCCTAAAAACAGGATTTATCAGCAAGGAAAATCTTAAATCTAGTGCAGCATCAGCCTCATGGACAGAAACTGAAAGTTTCACAAGAGACGAGCCTGGTAACGACAAGCTCTGCCTCCCATTTTATTTTCAGAAACTTAGTCTAAAAACAAAATGCTCTTAGAAAAATATGGAACTGTTAAACCTTCAACTCTCTTGCTGTCCTTTCAAAATGACCTTTGAGGCTTCAGGGGTTGTTGTGACAGGACAGCAGAGCGTATTACGTATGATGTAGTTTGGTTGATGAGAGCGTTGAATGTTAAAACTAAGATTTTAAATTCAATTCTGAATTTGACAGGGAGACAAAAGAGACGAGCAAAACCTGCAGAAACAGGATCTCTGCTTCCAACTCATATAAACTCTGGCAGCAGCATTTTGGATTTTCTCAATTTTAACTTTTCGACACAGAAATTAAGAATTATAATAGTCAAATCAAGAAATTACTCACGTAAAAGTAAAAAAAAAAGATATTTTGTAAAAAGACTGCTTGAGTACTGAGTAACTGATCATAACATCTGTTTTAGTTTAATAAAATGTCATCAGACTGACAGAAAATAGAAATGCATGTGCAAATTCTGGTGCAGACTGAAATGAAAAAAAAATCATAAAAATAAAAAAAAACTAATTTCAAAATAAAAACTCCAGCAGAAGATAGAACAGGGTGAAGTACTTCCAGTAACTATATTTTCTGTTAATCATATTTTCACTTGACCTCCAATGTCTCAGCAGATAAAAAAACAGCATTAAATCAACACACTTCAAAATAAACTGCAGGTGTGTCTCTTTGGTGCATTTCTGGTTAAAAGATGTTTGTTCTTCATTCAGTGAAGTTACTTTTGGTGGTTAGAGTGTTCAGACATTTTGCTCTAGTAAGGGTAGCAATACTTCATTATAACATTTCTCAAGTAAAGTAAAAAGAGTAGTGTAGAAAAACTACTCATGAAAGTACATTTTATTTGCAACAAGTTACTCAAGTAAAAGTGAGTAAATGTAACTAGTTACTGCCCATCTCTGGACATTAAGAACAGTTATCTATAACTTGCTTTCAGTATGTTGTTTGTACTACTAAAAATTATTTTCAACATTTGAATGTGTCGTTTCAAAATATACAGTATTTATCACATTATTCAGTGTTTTGTGTCGATTATATTCAAGAACATAAAATAATTGTAGCAGTCATGGTATTTTATAAATAAAATTACCTCAGGACAACTAAAGATCAGGGCCCGTATTTATAAAACTTGTTAGAATTCCTCTTAAGAATGCTGCTAAGAGTGGACTTAAGTGTAAAATAATTCTTAGTTAAAAGCTGAGAGTAAAAGT